CTCCACTCCTTTTAGTCTATCTCGTAAGCCAGCGTTTGCAATGTAAACGCACAAAAACGTGTTTCTTCTTGATCTCTAATTTCCTCTATTATAATATGCTTTTATTATAAAAATAAACCTTCCTCTTGAACCACTCTCTCTTTTGGTGAAAACCGCATTAAAATCCATTGCTTAGTTTCAAAGATCTAAGCAAGCAAAGGATCTACACATTTTTCGGTCTCGCTCCCATCCGCTCAGAACGTGCAATAGGGAACTTCGTTCCAAAAAAATGAAAAGTCAGAGGCTGTCTGTCGAGGCTTCCATAAGCAAAGATACTTGTATGTAAGTAGTGTGTCCATCTCGGGAATCGAGACTCCTTTTTATTTTTACTTTTTAACTTTGCAGTTCTAAAAATACTCGTCCATACATCAATACACGTCGAAGCAAAATTTACCAACCAAAAAAATATATAAGTTGATATTCCAGAAAAAAAAGTAGTACGATGACAAATTAAGGAATTTCGTACTTTTATTCTTCCGTATGCTGTAAGACATTAATTGTCGTTTAATTTCAGAATAAGAATTAGGTAATCTATAATAGGTTAAGGATTTACCGGCTAAATATTCAAATTTGTTGAATGATTGTGTCTATTACTTGCATGGACTTGGCAACTTGATTTCTTTTATCACTTATTAACTACAAAAGATCGTAACTATGTTTACTTGTTGTTAATTCACTTAATCAATTGTCGCGAACCTTAGAAAATTTGTCTTTCTAATTAGACAGATAGACGGACTTTCCTTTTTTCTTCTCGAGAAATTGAAGTCTAAAAATTTAATTTTAGCCTTCCGTATCGCTTATATATAGATTGCTATGTCAAAGTGAAATTTTAAAAACGTCTTTAACCGGGTTCTGCCCGTGGTTATACCCGGCTATATATGTTGGTTATCGCGGTAATAAGTATAGCCTATGTTACTCGCTGATAATGTAGCTTTCCATTAGTGAAAGAATTTTTTAAATCGGTTAAGTAATTTAGGTGTAAAAGCGTGAGAAACAAACAAACTCACTTTCACATTTATAATATTAGTATGGATGTACTTAATATAACTGCACGGATGGCGTAGTGGTTAAAGCTGTCGCCACGCCGCTTCCTACTACGCCGAGTGTTGTGGGTTCAAAACCCACATGGGACGACACTTTGAGTGTTCCACAAATTGTTGTTCTAAGTCTGGGTGTTCTTTGTGTCCGTTTCATGTATGTTTGTAAAGTTCCCTGCGACACAGGGTATATTCCTAATGCGGGCGTTGTCTTTTGTATAAAAAATAAATAAAAAAAAACTTAAATCTGTAACAGTTTTATTACAACTATAAACAACTGGACCAAATCTGTACTGACTGTACCAAATCCAGGCTCGAGTCATTCTGTTCAGACTAATCACTATAGATATATAACAAATACCACTTAACACTTTCATTTTTTTTATTGAGCACCCATCAATTACGTGAACATCAAGCAAATAAGAGTAAAGGATGACCAAAGAAAACAAAAATGAATGGACTGTGTAAAAGAAGATACTGTGAACTGAATTTCGTATAGGTGTTAAAAGACTTACTTTTATAAATCAAAACAATAATGTACCATACTGTACCATACATACAATAATGTACATGTACCAATACTCAATAGCAAGTTAATTTTTTTTTCTTTAATAAAGAAAGAAAACATTACAATAAGACAGTACAAAAAAAAACATAAGCATAACAAAAACAAAAAAAAAACTGTTTGGCTGAATTTTAATTAGAAACAAAAAAGACCCTGTTCGGCCATTTTGGGCTCGCGTAATAGACGTGCCTTAAAATATACACAGTCGTAATGCTCGCACTTGCTTGAAACTACGTCATACAAGAAGTTAATATTCAGTTATCTGACAAGGGTGTGACATCATAGCCATGACCTCACCGACTGGGTGGCAACAGACAGACGGTTAATGGAAGGTTATACGGACAATGACCGCTACTTAATGTGCTATATCCTAAGTAATGTTTATTCTAATACGAATGTGAATCTGGTTTTTACACCTTAAATACTCGACAGATAATCGTGAAAAATTGTATAGGTACAATTTTTCACGGTCCAGAATGCAAGAGGGTACAGAATTAAAGTGCTGTAACATAGGTCTTTTTTGTGGCCGTGTTATCACATCGGTCCGGTAAGTAGTTTCTTCAATAATAGCTTTGATGTGACAAATAGGTAAATTAAACTAAATTAATTCACAAAATCTTTTGTCCATTCTTGAAGGCGATAAGTTCAACTGATAAAATTAAATATAGGATAACCTTTTAATAAGTTAAAGAAAAATAAAATGTTTCTCTGAATCGTGATGCTGATAATATTGGATATGTCTGGGGCTTGGTCTCCCCGATATTAGGCAATAGAGATACAGGCAGCATACCTAATGGAAGTAGTTCCTTTCTTAGCAACCATTTCTTTAAAATATAACCCCTAACACGACGTAAATTTTGCCTTTTATTACATGAGTAGCCAAGTTGTGGGTATATGATGTTTCTTGATGATTTGAGTGATGTATCAGTTTGATCGTCGTACTCGTACGTAGGTACGCAATGTGTCAGTGAGAATCAGCTTGGCTTGCTTTGTAGTTCTTTCACTCTCTGTAGCGCGGGAGTATAACATTTGACTAATAAAATATTTGTATGTTTGAACATACTAACTTTAAATCCTATTCGTAAACAAACAATTTGTGGCGAAACAAAAACATACTTCAGCGCCATCTAACGAAGACACAACTAACTACGGAGTAACTGCTAATCCTGTATCGCGATATGAATAATTCTCACGCCATCATACAATTTTCCAACTTTACCATGTAAGCTGCATGTGCACATTGCCCTGTCGGAGGATCCTCCCTTTGTGTTGGAGGAACATGACATCCGTTCTTCGACAAATTACTATAAACCTACAACAAACATAATATACTTATCTAGGTACGAGAAGTGTAGTAAGTGTATTATGATATTGTACATGGCTTAAGGAAAACTTAAAAAAAAAACAAAACGTTAAAGAACTTTCTGCTCCAAGGGTTCGAGAATTAAACGAGCGACGCTGTGCCAATTCACTTGACCATGTCCAGTGCAACCTGATGCAAACGTCAGGTAATTCAAATACACTACACACGAAAATTCCCGTCCGCATACATACTATTATGTAGAGTTCATTTGCTTTGGTATTTCAGTGTATGTCTTTCAAAAAAGTGTAGGAGAACAATATGTTTTTCTTTTCTTAGATAAAATGTATGTATTTAGAATCCTATGCGTATGTTTATTTGGAAATGGGCCCGGTTGAAGACAATAGGCTTGCCATCATAGAAATATAAGCATAGAGAGAACACTAGGTACAGCAGGCAACGAAAGAGATGGATGCCGGACAAATGCTGTCATTGGGGAACAGCGGATTAATATACTTAGGTTCGGTTTGTTAAAATTAAGTTTTTTTATTTCTAGGAAAAATGCCACTAAATAGAAAGACAAAGACTAATATCGGTCATCACACTGAAGATAACATACGTGCTACTTTATAAATGACATTGATATTGATACATATTGAAAGCTGTGTCAAGATTAAAGGAAATACCCTTCACAACACTGTATAGAACAACAACACCATAAAAAATTAATACATAATCAACTGAAAATCCTATTAAAACCGAAAAACTTTTACCAAATTACAGTACGTTTTTTTTACTAAGGCTCAAGAGAAAAATTTGGTTGATTTTTAAACGAAATGTAACAAAATGTTCTATTGTATTACTACTGTGGATACTCGAAGATAAGCCTACGAAATGGCAATAAAAAATAATTTGCAAGTGCACAAAAATGGCATGACACCAAACTGGCATGGGTTGATACAGTTTTAGAAAAATCCACCCTAGTATTAGCTTGCGAAAGCCTGTAGGATGTCGTTTGAGCCGGCCTACGGCATTCAATCGCCATAATGTAAAGATATTTTCTGATAATTTGGAAAAAATGTGCAAACCAAGTCAATGTAAAGTCTAATGTCAAAAGTCTTCTACAGTATTGGCAGAGACAAGTATCAAAAGTTACCAACGCAGAGAGAGGCAAACTGGCTTCATGGAACTACTGGGAATAAACCACTTTTGCTGTATTGTAAATTCTGTGATTATTAATATTATAATTTTACTATACTAAAACTTTCTAGGAGACTGTTTAAAAGTACAAATAGTTTTAATCTATACTAATATTATAAAGCTGAAGAGTTTGTTTGTTTATTTGTTTGTTTGTTTGTTTGAACGCGCTAATCTCAGGAACTACTGGTCCGATTTGAAAAATTCTTTCAGTGTTAGATAGCCCATTTATCGAGGAAGGCTATAGGCTATATATCATCACGCTAAGACCAATAGGAGCGGAGCACCAATGAAGAATGTTTCAAAAACGGAGAAAATTTATTACTATTGAGGGACGCAGACGAAGTTGCGCGGGTCAGCTAGTCTGTAATAAAACAGCATTTAGTTTAGGTAAAACTATATTTAAATGCTGTTTTTAATTATGATTCAGCAACCGTGTACGATCAATTTTACCCCAGATCCCTTATTCAGTATTACCCACCCATGGTTTACAGGGGATCAAATATTTTTTTTAAATGGCGCGTTTTTAAAAAAAAATGCCATTTAAAAAAAAAACATAACTTCCCAAGTGCTATCTTTGCTTTTTTTTTTAAACTTAGATATGAAACGTATGTATATTTTAAGAAAAATTAGGTAAGCTTTTTGGAGAGAAAGTGCGATTCAATCATTTTGAAAAAAAAAAACTGCCCCACTCTGTTCTAAATATAGTTAAAAATTTCGAGTTTGAAAAATATGTATTTTTTTATTTTAATGTACTTAATACTAATACATTTGATTACATTAATATAATTAACAAAAACAAATAACGAGACTTAACGGTTCTGTGGTTATAACCCGACCACAGATTGCAAAATGATAAAAGATGGCAGTTGTCTTTGTCATTAGTAAATTTAGTAATATTGCGCGAACGCAACACGCTTGCGTAGTTGCATTGTTACTTTACGAGGATTGTTCGACTGAAAACTGTAAAGTAATGTAGGTATTTTAATATTACTTTATGATCATAAAGAGGAATTTGACGATATGCTAGTAATACAGTATTGAAAAAACTTAGTCATGGTTTTTTTTAAATAATTTATTTTACATCTTTATAAAACAGAACTGTGCAATGTTTCATAATATAATTACTATCTATTGCTAAAACGTTTTTAACTTTTAGGGAGGATAATACCAATCCAAGTGAATGGGTGCCAGCGGACACCGTCGACATATGCTGTAGCAGCAACGAATGCAACACAATGCTGTACGAAGGGAACCTCAGACAATTGCTACGCGCTGCAAATGGGTGTATAGTAATCACAGAACCTCTAGCCAAAAGGCAAAAAATAGCCCTCATGTCGCCTACGGCCAAAGGAAAGGGCGTTGGGAAAAAAACTAAAATTATATTAAATTGAAAAACGTTTGGACATACGAGATCAGCGAAAATTGATTCAAAATGTTGATTGATTATTGATTGACGATAACTTAATAAAGAAAGGGAGACTGGTAGGTTTGTTTGTTTCCAGGTAAGTAAGTATTATGTATATGCATACAAATATATTATGAACAATGGATGAAAGAATGATGTGTATGTTTTAAAATATGGTTCTGGGGGCAGCTTGTTGCTAAACATATCACATGTAAGAATATGAAATTTGTTTTCTGCTTAAAATTCAAGTTCATAACAATGCGAACAGAGCTTCATAATAACAAACTAATATGGTTAACTGAAAGTTAAAATCCTACCACTCTTTACTATACTAACGGTTTAAAGTTTTACAAATATATTTTAAACCATAATAGCTTAGCAAGTAATGCAACGTTTTTAAACAGTGCTATGCATCCTTACTAACTGCTTTCATAATTTGCATTATAGCTATCACCTTGACCCCAGCACCAGAAGCAACAGCCAGAAAGGAACCGTCAGAAGCGCTTATAATATTAATAACATTATAAATAATAAGTAACCGCCTAATTATTGATTATATCATTTTTTGTTTGTTAAGTAATATAAGTTATAATTCTGTTTGTTGTTTTATTAATATACTTATTGTTTCTTTTTTAAGTGAGTTTTCTTTCCCTCAGAAAAAGATTGCAATTTTGTGTGTGTCTGTCATTGATATAATACTTACATAGATGAGTAATTACCGCCTAAAATCGTTGCTACTGCACATCTGTCCACAGGCATATGCGTAGCAAACGTCAATTCAGTATTCAATGTGGCGTCAACCGAGTTGAACATAGCGACACATGACAGTAACAATCGCCAAAATGGCTAAATGCGTAGTGAAAGAATGCGATTCAAGGTCACAAAACATTAATAAATCATGCGGAATTACTTTTCACGTGTAAGTTAATGGTTTTTGTATTGATAATATCGTAAATAAGGCTATAATTGAAATAAAACACTGATAATTGTAATTTAGAATCAGTGTTACCATTAAAAAATCATTTTGGTTTTCCCACATTAGTGGGAGAATTTATAATTTATGAAATAATATGCTTCATACTGTTTTTAAACATTTTGCCAATAATAATAAAATATAGGAAGAACGGTAGTTGTTGGGGCTGGACCGATCACTTTTTTTAGGGACCCGTTGAACGCTTGGGAGAAGTGCCAAGCTCGCAGTGCTGGAGACTTTTGTACAAAAGAATTAATTCATTGTTTTTCTTAATTTATTATCAATTTGAAATAATAATTGTACAAAATAATAATAATAATAAAAAAAAAATGTTTATCATAAAAATAAAAAATAAAAATATAAAATAAAAAAGTAAATAAACATAAATAAAAAAAAATATAAAATATAAATTAAAATTTTTTTTTTTTTTTTTATTTGTTTTTTAAATTATAATAGAATTTGCAATACACCCTGGGGATTATTTATTATCAGTACAAGTTGATCATTCACTTTTATTATTAAATGCTATTATTTTTATGTAAAATATCCACACAAACTTATAAAAAAGAGTCTAAAAGACCATTGTATACAAAACTGATGCTTCACAGCGCAGTTTGATTTTACACTGAATATAAACCCTTTTAACCAAATATTTCCAGTTATTTTATTATTTATACCTATTCTATTCAATTCGAAATATATTATTTAGAATATTTAAATTAATTTATTTTATTACAAAATTGTTTTAAAAAAAAATTGTTTCTTAGTTGTTATGGGTAAAATTTCATACGGTAGTCAACACTGGCCCACCATCGTAAAGTTATATCTTTGTCTTTGTCTAATCCGAGCGATGGTATTGTTCTTGTCTCGCGTGTAAATGAGACATAAATATGTTTACTTTCAAATGTTTAGTGGTATCAAAGCTACGTCGTCAAAGTTCAAAAGTGGTTACACTTTTTTCGACGTGTGATAATGAGGTTTGCTTCTCTAGTGTTGTTTTAACTCAATGGTGTCTGTGTACTATTCTTCACTAGCATAGACAAAATAATCTCAATTAGTATAAATGTTTCTGTGTATTAATTTCTGAACTTTAGGTACTATGTGTGTCAAAATTATTGTAATATACAGTGCCTGATACTTATTTTATCTATTATTGTAGTTCAACCCCTACAAAATCAGCATATAATATCTTATATAAGCTTAGACATAACCTTATTGCAACAAATAAATGCTGAAATAAATTAATAATCTTTATTTAATTCTCTCACACAATATACACAATTAAAAAAAATGTAAAATGAAACAAAATCAAATTTACAATTTTATTTAACAAATCTGTGTATCTGTACTAGGAGACTTGTATGACAGATTACCAGACGATAGGTGGAGTGCTGTTAACTTTGTTATTGTAATTAATTCTGTAATTCTTTGCAAAGTATGTTCATGGGTAGCATAAAAGATGTTTTACACTTAGGGCACAAATATTTAAAAAAAAAATACGCAGGACAAATGACAGATAGTTTTTAAAGTTCATTATCATTTTTTTGTGAGCTCACACATTTTTGAAAAATACACTAACTTTTCTTCTATTTATAAGATGGTCCTAGCTTTTAACTATTAAGGATATGATTTTATTCTGTTGCTAATACCAAAAGCAAAATTCAGTTACTATTGTCCCACTTCAGACCATTGTTATAGCGAAATAGAGATCCGTCTAGCCAAGCAGGTGCATATTGAAGAAGGATTTCGTCGAAGTTGCTGGCTGCGTCGATGGAGACGACGTGCGCCTTGATCGAAACTCTCAAAATCATGTCGAAAATGGTAATTTTAATGTTATAGGTAATACCGCCCTGTTCTTCAGTGGTGACAGTTGTGAGGAGGTTTTTGAGACTGCACAAGCAGGCATTAACTAAGTCTGTGACTAGTTGCAAAGTAACATCCTAACGCTTAATGTTATTTAAACTAAATATATAGCCTTTTCAATCAGATCTGATCTACTGCCACAACCCTCTCTTTCTATTACTACACACTTGTGGTTATGCAAAAAACAAATACTAAATATCTTGGCAGAGTCATTGATCAACACCTTTGCTTCCAACCTTGTGCCAAGATTGCGCAAACCTATCTATATATTTAAAACCTTAAGACATTCTGCTGAACGAAGGATTATGAAGATAGTGTACTATGCATTATGCAAACCCTTAGTGGAGTATTGCATTACATCCTGGGGAAGTGCTGCCAAAACACATTTTATTAAAGTAGAGAGGGCACAGCGTGCAATACTTAATGTTGGTGCAGGCCTCCCCTTCCGATATAGCCGGTAGTGACAGATGTTTTACCGCGGTTGGATCCTTCTGTAAAGAAGTCATCTTGCAGAAATAGAGAATTTACCCGAAGGTGGTGCCCACGCCATTGCGGGCCGGCGCTAGGAGGGGTCCGGATCTCTCTATAACAGCAGTACCCTCATCCCTCCTATTACAGGCATAGAATGGCAGACCGTGTGGCTTTAGTCGGTCCCATTCCATTACACCACCCCGCCGCAAACCCCGGTGGAGTGATGACACGAGGGGATTCCACACGTAAAAAAAGTGGATCTACAGAAAATGGGGCATACCTACTCACGCATCGACAGACCTTCATTCTGCGTAGGTACTGTAATTAAAAAACATGGTGAACTGAAATTTGTGTTGTTGTGTGCCCCGCCGTTTTATTCAGAACAAATTCTCCCACAATTTTTTTTTCTGCTTTCTTGGTAATTACTTATACAATAAAATAAACAAAATCCTTAATTTATACCCACATCCGAAATCTCGCTGCGTCAAAACATTAAAACACAATATTTAAAAATGCTTGACTACACAGATAACACAGGTTTTCATTTAAAAACCTACATCGGGCGCCAGTCTCACACATAGGTATTTGAGAGAACATAGATTATGTAGGTATTTAATTATAAGACCTTTAACTATTGTGAAGAGAAATAAAGAAAAAAGTTACCCCGCTTCTGTAATTATTAGCAGATTTTTATTTTTGTTTCACTAACAGTTATTCCAAAAAATCATTTCCTACGTTGGTAACGTATGGAACGTTACCGCAGCAAGACATTTTCTTTTTTAATTGGAATATTGAAATAAACATTAGCTTGAGCTTTTCAAATAATTAGTTATCTAGACGAGGTAAACGTTACAACTTATTTTGTATTTGTATCTTCTTCAGCTGCAAAGTTATTCGAGATCCTGCAGGTGCCCTAGGTTCTGACATACAAACGTGGCCCTGCTGGGGAGACTGACCCAACAGGGCCCCATATAAACCCTTATAACTTTTGAACCAGTGACCTCTGATATTTATACAAATTAGCGACTAAATTTTAGTGTCACCAAAATTAAAATCCATAATGCTAGCTAAGCCAGTGTCAGTGACACTGGCTTAGCTAGCATCAATAGGATGAGTGACCCCCGAAGTATAGGTAGATGGTAGTGGCCCCCGCCCCACGATGACACATTGACCGTCACCTGCTAGACTGGCTGGTCCACGTGCAGGCTTTACCGCCGTCGAGTGACCTGGGACCCTTATCGTCCGACTGAGACAGGTACCTTCCGATCACGGCTGCTTTGGGATGCACCTTCACTCGGTCGCTAGGAGGGAATTAAGTTTTAAATAGGGCCCGAGGAGGTTTTCACATGTAAAAATAAGAAAAAAAAACATTTGGAGTAATTACTCAACACTTTTTGCCCCGCACAACCAATCTATGGAACGGGTCGTCTGCGGTATTTCCGGACCGATACGACCTTCAAGAAAAGAGCGTGCTCCTTAATAAAAATCCTCCTGAATTCATGGGCAGACGTTCATGGGCGGCGATAGTCACTTTCCATCAGGTGACCCGTCTGCTCGTCTGCCCCATCTAACATAAAAAAAAAACACATTTACATATATGAAGGTGCGGGGGGCGCTGATGAGATACTTGCCTAGGGCGCTCTTGATCCTTGACCTCAGCGCCTAAAATATGAATACTG